CGTCAGCGTCACAGACATGCCATCCGAACAGCGGAAAGACCCTTGGATTGTCTCGCTCTTGAATATGCTTTCTGACACATCAACTTCCGGTTACCCTCGTGCTCTTCGCCGCCAAGCAACGCATTTCGCCATACGAGATGGCCTGTTATACCGTCGCAACTATCAAGTGGTGGGTCGTAAATGGCTGCTAGTCATACCCAGCCATATGCGCTCTGATATCTGCGAATATTTTCATGCTGAGCCTCAACACGCACACGCCGGGGCGCTAAAGACGTATGAACGGATCCGCCAACGTTACTACTGGCGGGGTATGTACACGTTTGTACGCAAACACATTCGCTCATGTTTCCTGTGTCAGCAGCGCAAGACATTCCCTCATTCACCCGGTCAACTGCAGCCTTTACCATGTCCTGCACGCCCATTTGACCGTGTTGGGATTGACCTATACGGCCCGCTACCGTGCTCTGTTGGTGGTAATCGATGGGTGATTGTGGCTGCCGACCATCTGACAAGGTACGCCGAAACGGCAGCGCTACCTTCGGCTGGTGCTCGTGACGTTGCAACCTTCATCTTGCATCGCTTTGTTCTTCGTCATGGTGCACCACGGGAGCTCCTGAGTGACAGGGGCCGTGTATTCTTGTCCGAAGTTCTGCAGCAGCTCTTACATTCATGCCGCACGGTACACCGCACATCAACAGCCTACCACCCTCAGACGAACGGCCTAACGGAACGTTTCAATAGAACTCTCGGAGACATGCTCGCTATGTATATTGATTCGGACCACTCCAATTGGGACGTTGTCCTTCCTTTCGTGACGTATGCCTACAATACGGCGATTCAATCAACAACGGGCTTTTCTCCATTTTTTCTTTTATATGGTCGTGACCCCTGCAGCACACTCGACACAATTCTGCCATACAATCCTGATGCCTCCGAGTTCAGCCCAGTTTCTGAAATGGCAGAACATGCCGAAGAGTGTCGTCAGCTTGCACGGTCCTTCACAGCCGATGATCAAGCTTTCCAAAAAGATCGCCACGACCGTGATCTTGTTCAGGACACATTCCCCGTCGGTTCTCTCGTGTGGCTCCGACTTCCTTTCCACTCTCCTGGACTGACTCCCAAGTTTGCACCGAAGTATACGGGCCCTTACCGCGTCATACAGCACCGCTCTTCTGTGACCTATGTGATTGAACCGCTCAAGCCATCCACGGACAAGCGCCGCCTTGGTCGTGAGACGGTCCACGTCAGTCGCCTCAAGCCCTGCTACGACCCTCCTGTTCTCTCGTCACCTTGAGTCGCCAGGATGGCTCGTCTTGGTCGCCGGGGTATTGTAGTGGGGAATTCGCAAGGCACTGACTAGTGGGACCATCTCTCTCGGAGAGCGAAGCGCGAGTGTGTGCACGAGCTGTAGACGCTGGACGGCTCGAGCATTTCTGTTCCTACCGGCTGCCTGCCTACTACCTGGCGTCGCTATTAAACTCCCTTGCAATTGTAGAGACTGTGGTTGTAGACCGGAATTTGATAAATGCACCGTTGTTGCAAAACACTGTCAGCTGCTAATAGGAGAGATTATTGAGGCCAATCAAATGCAAATGCTTGGTGACATATGTATTAGCATGTTTTCGGAAGCACTCACTAAGAAAGAAACCAAGTATAAAACTTTGACGCAATAGATTGTGAGTTTGTGCTGAAGTATGGTGTTGTGCTCCTTTGATGAGATATTGTCTGGCTGTGACGCAATAGGTTGCGCGGTTGTGCTGTGATGTGCTGCTTTCTGTCACGACTATATATTTCCAGTGTTTTCACTAATAAAACTTCAGTTGGAGTCAGTGCTCTTTTCTGTCCTAGTCTCTTCTTCCATAGTTACACCGTCACTACTCATAGCCTTGCACTGTGAAAATATGTTCATTCTAGAGGCATCATGTCAGAAAGTAGTAGTACTTGAGACATGCTTGAATGCCTCAGTGAGTTTATACAAAGGTTCCACAGCTACTCTGCCCCTCCTCCAGAAATCAAGGAAAGTCTTGAGTGAGAAAGGGGTGAGAAAAATAGATATATTATCCTTCTATAATTATTTACTATGTAGAAGAAGTACATGAACAGCCATAGATTGGGAAGAAACAGGAATAAAGATGACTGAAGAATATCTTGCTTTATTTACAGCTGACATGTTTCTTACCCTCCAGCAATAATGGCAATGTACTGTCAAGAAATTAAAGAGCTAAACTAAGACAGTGTTGGAAAAGTGTTTTTTATTCATTTATTTACTAAGTGAAGGCCCTCATACTGCCCACGCAGGGCTGTGTACGAGGAATGCAAACAGAAAATAAAGTTAAATGCATTTACTTGCTTGGCATATTTGTAGAAGGAATAACATATACATGAACAAAGACAGCAATTCGCTCGACATGAATTATTGCTAATAAATGAAATTATCATTTAAAGAAAAGTATACTCCAATATTAAACTTGAACTTCAAGGATAACTAATATTTTCAGTACATTGAGCCAATGAATTCAATGAGACAGATTCTTCCACAGATAACATATTCTAACAGAATATTGACCAACAAAATAAAGAGAACTTGTGGACATTAATGTGGCTGAATGGTTGCCATATAGCCCGACCATGATCTGAACATTTCCAAAGATGTTGAAAGCAACTTGCCCGTGATAACTCATAGTTCTCGTGACAAAGTTGCCAAATAAATTTTAATCTAATGTGGTCCTACGCTACTTGAGTTTTTTGTAGCTTTGTCTCATTAAGTACAAAATCGATGCTGAAAGCAAAGATAGTACTATGTGGTGCAGCAATAAGTCAGAGTTTGTGGTAGGCAATCCAGATCCTAAAATCTGCAATAGTATACTTATATCTGCATGAAATACAAATAGATGAAGCTACTCTTGTAAAATAAATTCACCAAATGCAGTAAACATTATCAACTCATGACTGGCAATGCACCACTCCCACTAATGGGGAAAGCAAAAAAGTGTACAATCGTAGTTTGTCAGTTCTAACAAATGTGGTAGGAACTTGGAAAATAACACTGACACAAAAGACTGTTAAGAACCACCCAGTAAACTTAAAGCAGAATAAAGAATGATAGAAGTATAACTATAAGATAAACATCAAAATAGATCAGGGAATTGAATTAAACAGAGCTAGTTCGTATTTGACAAGAAAATAAACCTGGACATGTCTCAAAAGTGAAGGCAAAATAGTCGACGGTATGTTAGATCAACAGAATGGATACCAAGAGTTGGGAACCACTGCCGAAGATGGCAGAGAGTGCAGCCATAAAAAATGGAATAAGCATATGTAAGAGTGAGTGGGTCGGAGATATAAGATGCCCTTCACGCTGCAGTGGACATAAGACAGGCTGATAAAGATCGAGTTAAAAACTGGGAAATTATTCCTATCTGCTGCTGACCAATGCATATGCGACCATTCAGTACCAATATCTTGTAAAGAAAAAAAATTACTGCTCTGAGAAATAACTTCATCTACTATGTATGGTCGGAATTTTGCTTGAATCTTGGTGTGGCCTAATAATTTAAATCGGCCGCTGCAGTGGCCTAATGGTGCTCGGGTGCTGACACAAAAAACTTCGGTTCACTCATAACCAGGGTGATTGCATTTTGATAGAAGTGAAATGCTGGAGGCCCATGTACTGTATAGTTTCAAGGCACGTTAAAGAATGCCAAGAGGTCGAAATTATCCGAAGCATGTTAAATGCCACAAACCAACAAAGCCTTAAAATTGCTATAATAACTTCATGTGGCAGAAAGTTCCGCTACCAATGTGCATGTAGTTTGCATGTGTATAAGGCCGATCCTGTAATGAATGATTTTGTCGTAAATTTAAACTCGCACTTATGTTTGTTACTTCTTCTTACACGATCTATAGCTGTGCTGGGATCATATCTATTGCCAGACTAGTAGTGTTTTCTAAATTAGAAAAACAAAAAGAGCACCAAATATTTCTGATCTCTCCCTGCACCCTCATCTATCTTGTTTCTGTCTATTTTGCAAGATGTACGTGTTACACTCATAAAAATCATCCGATCACTCCTAAGTATGACTCTCTTTACTGTGATCCCATAATCCCAGAAGTCAGAGATACATCTCTATATCACCTCTACCCAACATGCCGCCAGGCTTCTCATTTTTACAAAAGGAGTTGGACATTGAGCTGTCTTAATTAGCATTGACAGTGGCACACAGAATTAAAACACGACATTTGTGATATCAATATTGAGATCTGTGATCATTCTCGTGATCAATGTCGGCAATACACGTTTATAAGTGTCATGCCAGCAGTGCATACGACATGTCTAGAACGAAATGGGCTGGCAGCTAATAATGCGGGCTGAAGGATGGGGAAGGAGGGTTTATCCCTTACTTTCGCTTCACTACTGCGATCCTTGCCCCTATTTTCTTGTTTCACAACCTGCTCCTTTTTGTTCTCACAAACTTCTCTCAGTAACACCTGCACGACACTTAGGTGAATGTAATGGCATACGGAGAGCATTGAGTGCTTTTGGCGCTGCATGAGGCCGTATTACTTGTGGAAAGCCGCTCATCACAGTACCACAACGATCATCCTATAAATCGCAGGTTATTTCGCTGTCAATCGTAGGTGACGTGCGTAACGAGAGAAACATTGTTTGAGAAATAAGTTTATCCGGAAATCTTTAAGCACGCGAGATGTTTTGAGATATCTAGGTCACAGAAACAGGAAAGAAAAAATACGCGTCCACAAAGATTTTGTCTGTCTTTCCTTGATGAAGAAAACTCTGCAAGAGATGCCATACAATCGTAGTTGATCACTCCGGGGAATATCGCGAAAAATATGTTTTATTTGCATTGTGCTCTCGTGGCGCTGCACAGCATTGCGGAGCGCCAGAAACGGGGCACGCACGGACCGTCAAGGCTGGGTAGACGGGCAACGTACTGTGCACACCTTCGCAAAGCGTAAAACTTATCGCAGGGTCAGCTTACGTGCTTGGGCCGATCCTTCAAATTCGCGTAGTCCAGCAAAGCGCACGATGTTGACGCGGAGAGATAATCGCTGATGCTTGGCCGAAACGCTTGGCTGAAACAGCTGAGAAGTCCGAAACGAAAAGCCGGAAACAAGAAGGAAGCGACTGCTAGGTGGAGCCACCTGGTCAACCTTGACGCTGGCGTGAGGCTAGGCTACAGCGTACTAGAAGGGGGCAGTGGGCTCACTCTCCGGCGGAGGGTATGCAGAGGGGTGGCTCCAGAAATGTCACACGTTTGTGGTTCTCTGGTCGCACGAGCGGCGGCGCTGGCATCGTCATCAATAGAAGAAGTTTGGGAGGGACGTTGCAGCTGAGCCGGTTGTGAGCCGATCAAGTCCTGCAGAGCAACAGAGTTTGATCCACGTTGTGTGGCTGTGGACATTGTTGAGCCTAGTTTTTGCTGTCAGCTTGGAGCGTTACACACCACGCAAGATAACAGTATGCTTTACAGTGCATACTGTAACCATGCCGCGACAACGGCAAAACCACTGTTAGGCGCTTGGGTGTCTAACAGGCAACGTGTTCGGGAAGAGTAAGCAGGACCTGTCATTGTTTCTCGTCCTGAAGGATGAAAACGGGCCGAAAGAATGCGAGAAGAACCAGCACAGAGCGGAAAAGCTTCTGGAAGACACCAACGCAGTTTTCGAACTCCACTTGCAACCGCGTCTGTGCATATTATCGATAGAAAAAAGTGCACATACCTCACCCATTATCCACGCCGAGACTGTTTTCAACTTGTTCGGCTGCCCAAATTTTGTGACCAAGGAGGCCTCCTTCATCCCTCAAGTCTGCTGTACAGCTTTATAAAAAATCTCGAGGATATTTTCACAGAATCTTTTTGCCAGAGTAAGCTGTACTCTGACAGCGTTATGGACATACTGACAATTGTTCAGCGCAGACTCTCGATTCAAGTTGGTTGCAGTATGCACGCAGCTACCCTCACAGCGAAAGTAATTACTTTTTACGTTGTCACACGTCTTCATTCAATGTAAAAGGACTGAACACTGACAATTAGGCAGGGAAGCGGCAGAGGGCCAAGCAGCTGAAGATAAGCCGTCACACATGAAGTGAATAAGGTGTGTAAATCAGTGACTAGATGGTGTACTTCAGTTTTTGCAAATAAGAGCTTCATGTCAGGAGCCGAACCTTCGTGTGTATGTTTATTTATTTTTTCACTATGTCGCTCTACATATATCTAACATACGTGTATCTGCATAATTATGATTATTAATAACCCCCAGAAAGCTGTTGTGCCATGGTCTACAACTGAAGCAGAAGAAAAATTATTTAAGACCTACAATTTCACTTTATAATAAAGGCGCAAACCCAGCCAGCACGCCTGCATGTTAATGCTTTTCTAGGAAATGAACGTGCACTGTTTTCTAATTATGTCGTGAAAGGGCAGGCATAATCTTGTTGCGAATTCTTTTTAGGTTCGGTCTTCACAGCATGAACCGTACGTTTGGTCACTGTATCAAACCATATAATTTGTGGGATACATCATCCTTTTCGACGAGGTGTTATATTCGAGAAAACATGATGTGGCCTGAACAAATATAGTGTTTATCAGGAATACTCAATAACTCAAGCACACACCCTCCGAAACCCACACACACTCGCAAAAAGCGTTAACTGCGTCGTACTAGAAAGGAGAATGCACAGACTGCGCTGGCTGCCTTCGGACTAATTTTCGGGAAGCTGTATCGCAAAAGAAAAGGGAAACACTGTGAAGCGAGAGCACGAGAAGCTCTTCATATAATCAGAGGGAAGTCAAAGCATGCAAGTTTATTACAAATATCGAATTTGGCACGTTCCAACTTTTACGAGCGGCCATCGGCGAGCAGCTTCTGCAGGTGAAGCTTCAAATGAAGACGCCTGTGACGCCATCTCTCTTATGTGACGCCAAACGCGTCAGAGTAGCAGCGGAGTTAGCCCACTGTCCTCTTCTAATACACTGTAACTGGTAGGTGTTCTGTGGCGGCACTTCTTGTTGACGCCGCTTTTGACGCCGTGAGGTTATGAGTTCTACGGATGAGGAGCTTGACCTGAGCGAGATCGATGTCTTTGCAACAAGAAAGAGAAAGGCCGAGCCCAAGTCGCAAGTGCCGGCATGCGCTACCGTAAACACTCCCGGTACGACGGTTGTTCGCATGGAAGAGGTAAGTTTCGTTTATCGCAGTCATTCCGGTAACCCGTGTTTCGTGCAGTTCAGCGGCAGTTTACCTTCCCGCCCACATATTGTGACAAAACTTGCACAGGTCTTACTTGAGTTGCACTGGTGGTCAGTGCATTGCGTTAGCAAACACTGAAGCGACAAGGGGCAGCTCTGCACCGAGCTGCTCCATACAAAGTCTGCTCCATTCATTGACTTATGTCATCTTGACCGGTCGTTTTGGAGCGCTCTCAATGCGCTCTCCTGAGAGAGAGGGGGGGGGGGGTTGCGTTTTTTTCCTTTCCTCAACTTCTATAGCTCCCTCAGGAGAGCGCTTCGAAACGAATAGGAAGAAGGACGCTGCGGCAAACCTCTCCCCCCGCCGAAGGGGAAGCCTGCATGCACACGCCAATAATAACGACAATATATATGACGTGCCAGGGGAACCTATCATTGTTTATAATTTGAGTTCTTTAAGCTCGCCTATCTAGTTCCCCGTTGCCTTCAAAATACCATGTTGTGCAAGGCCGGCATCCTTTTCTCATACTTCCACTTCAACTCTGACTTTTATCTCCAGTGTACATCGACATGCATGGTGTTATCCGAATTAAATGTTTTAACCCACTTCATGGTTTTACGCACCTTTATTAACTTTGCTTCAAAAGAACATTCAGGATTGATTTCTCTTATGACCAGTGTTTGTTTGACACCTCTGGACTTCCCGAAACTTTCACCTACTATTCCCCCCAAATCAGCTGAAACAGGGTATATACCTCCAAGTCAAGCCTTATACTGAACCCTCGACGCTGCTTCAAGTGCCGGAAACTTGACCATGTCTCGCACAATTGCCATAGTAAGAAAGCTTGTACAAAGTGTGGCTTCAATGCCCGCACAGCAAACAGCTGACGTAATGCTGTGCACTGTGATGGTTATCACCCAGCCTACTCCATGTACTGGGAAGAATAAATTATTAGTATTAGTAGCTAGGTAGAAAAAAATTACACCTAGCTAAGGAGGTATGACAGTGACACTCACTATCATACTTTCATTTGGTTAAAGTTCATGATGCGTCGCATTTGTGACACAGGGGTTGCACAATACTACAACTCTCAGTGTCAGCCTGCGCTGTGCAAAGCGAAAGCACAGGACTACCATTGCGCCACATTGTGAGAGCAGCCAATTATGTTAACATTTGATAGTGTTGGTTAACAACCTGTGCAGTTTGACCCTAATGCAGTTAAATCAACCTTTAGCTGGTAAATGCAGAGCTATCTTCTTCCGGTCTATGACATTCATGAAAAACTGTTTGAACTCAAAAGCGCATGTCTGGTGTAACGAACCCAGCCTATGGCTCAGCCATTAATACTGATCACTGCGACTCTATCAGCCACTCCAGAAACGATGGTTTCTGCATCACAGGGCCTAAAGAGGGCTTTGTAAGCTGAACAATCTTTTATATACACAGAACTAATGAATTTATAAAATACAGCAGAATGCTGGAGCCCTATCCCACAACTCTGATGATATTCAAGGGCTAGCTGTTGTGTGTATACAGGGTGTCCCACGTAACTTTAGCCAGAGTTTAAAATTTGTGCTGGAACATGTAGTTACGACACGACCAAGTGCATGTTGCTCACTGTTGCTTGTAGTCAGACTATTATTTGTGTTCTCAAATGTTGCTTAATTAGATCTGTTTAATTAAATAATTGAAGAAACGAAAAATGGATAAAAAATTTCAATGAAAAAGTTGTGTATCAGTTTGCACACGACCAAGTGCATGTTGCTCACTGTTGCTTGTAGTCAGACTATTATTTGTGTTCTCAAATGTTGCTTAATTAGATCTGTTTAATTAAATAATTGAAGAAACGAAAATGGATAAAAAATTTCAATGAAAAAGTTGTGTATCAGTTTGCAAAACATCAAAATATATAGTTTTGAACTTTATATCTGTTGTAGGGAACTATGCGAACGACGAAGAAGCAGCATGAAACGGCAAGCCACAGCGTTGGTGCACGCGCGTTCCGAGCTTGCGTTTGTTTTGTATTTTCGGCCTGTTGGCGTTCCTCGCTCTTGTGGCGTTCCTCGGCCTTCCAGTAGGTCTGTACGTGAATAAACTGCGTGACATCTGGTGGAGGTGTGTGGACTCCCGTACAAACCTAGAACTCCGCTCCCGTAAGCTTCCCCCTCTACGTGATACGAACATGGCCACCGAGACGCCTCTCCAGGTGGGACCTTCGACCGTCCATGTCACTTGCGGTGCCGTGTATCCTCAACGAGACCCTCCTATCTTCACGGGCTCCACTGAGTCGGACGTCGAAGATTGGTTGGCGAGGTACGACAAAGTCGGCGCAAGTAACAAATGGGACGACCCAAGTAAGCTTGGCTACGTCACATTCTACCTTGCGGACACCGCGCAGCTGTGGTTTAATAACCACGCTGCTGACATTACTACGTGGTCTGCATTCAAGACGGCTATTACGGACGTCTTTGGACGACCTGCGGCACGCAAGCTTCAAGCCGAGCACCGTTACGTCACCGTGCACAGCAACCAGGCGAGACCTACACGGGCTACATTGAAGATGTGTTGCATCTATGCAACCGCATCAACTCTACCATGCCTGAGGAAGAAAAAATCAGGCACATATTGAAAGGCATTGACGACGGCGCCTTTCAGATGTTGCTCGCGAGAAATCCCCCCACCATTGCTGTCCTCGTTTCCCTCTGTCAAAGCTTCGATGAATTGCGTAGGCAGCGCGCAATTGCTCGTCAAGCCATCACGACGCCAGACACGCTCGCAAGCTTGCACCTGGCTGCCCATCCTACCGACCAGCAGCCGCTGCTTTCGACAATCAAGGACTTCGTCCGCGAAGAGGTAGTGCGCCAGCTGTCACTGCTGCCACTGACACATGAGCCCACGCAAGCTTTGGCACCGGACCTCCAACACGTCATTCGGACCCAAGTCGCTGAAGCCCTTCCGCCGATGCATCAGCAACCACCAGTCACAACGCCTCTCACGTACGCCGCCGTCGCTGCTCGGCCTACGCAACAGCGTATGCCGTATGCTCAACCTGTCACGCCACCCTATGTCGTGCCTACAACCCCAATTGCGGCGCCGTATCCTTACGCGAGATCTCCAGCTCCATTTTATCGTCGCTCAGACGCTTGGAGGACGCCAGATAATAGGCCCATCTGTTTCACCTGTGGTATCGCTGGACACGTCGCCCGCCACTGTCGCCGAGATCCCCCTCCAGTCGACGCCATGGGCCGGCCAATGGCGTCGTCGTCTAGGACGCCATCAAGGTACACCACTGACGGTCCTCGACCCTACGCAAACCAACGCTCACCATCGCCACGACGACGCTCCCTGTCACCTATGCGTCGCCGACCTGCTACGGAAGAGGGAAACTGATCGCTGCAGCTCCGGAGGCAACAGCTGCATACAATTCGAACTGCTTAAGGCCTCCATCTTTCTCGCCGCAAAACGTTATTGACGTCAATGTTGAAGGGACCGCCGCATAAGCGCTTATCGACACAGGGGCCGCCGTTTCCATAATCTGTGAGCCCTTATGCCGCAAGTTGAAAAAGGTGACGACGCCTCTTTCGGGCCTGATGCTCCACACGGCCAACTCGCAGTGCATAGAACCTACAGCTGTGTGCACTGCACGTGTCATTATCCAAGGTGAACTTTATGCCATTGAATTTTTTGTGCTGGCATCCTGCTCCCACGAAGTCATTCTTGGATGGGACTTTCTTTCGCGTCATCGGGCCATTATAGATTGCTCACGTGCAGAAGTTGCCCTTACACCGCTGCCAACCTCTTGTTTTGTGGATTCTCTTCCTGAACCTTACAAACTTGTCGTTGTTGCAGACACGGAAATAGCACCGAGAACATCCGCCCTTGTAGCCCTGACCTGTACGGCCGCTCCAGCCGGAACTGTTTTGTTCACTCCGTCTGACGTATTTACCCGCCGCCGTAGCCTACACCTGCCCTTTGCCGTACTCACCGTGGAATCCGGTGCTACCGCCATGCTCGTCGCGAACTCGCTATCGTCGCCAGTTACCTTACTTCGCGGAGAATGTTTGGGTAACATACAAGACGTTGACCTCTTGCGCCCTCTAGAGTTCGCCGAACACGCACCTCACCTCCAGCTCAATGCTATGACGCCACCTGTGGCCACAGTGCCCGCGCCAGACTCATTCCAGCCCTCTGTTGCCGCTGAGCTATCGCCGACACAAAGAAGCGAACTCTTGTCCCTCCTTCGAGAGTTCCGTTCTGCCTTCGATTGCGCTCAACCATCTTTGGGTCGCACAGCGAACATCACGCACCACATTGACACCGGTACTCATGCTCCCTTACGCCAACGACCATATCGAGTTTCAGCGGAAGAGCGCCGTATTATCAACGAACAAGTCGACGATATGCTCAAGCGTGGTGTCATCCAGCCATCGCAGAGCCCTTGGTCGTCCCCTGCTGTACTTGTGCGCAAAAAGGATGGGTCTATCCGATTCTGTGTCGACTACCGCCGGCTCAATAGATAACTCGGAAGGATGTGTACCCGTTGCCACGCATCGACGACGCTCTCGATTGCTTGCAAGGGGCAGAATATTTCTCCTCCTTAGATTTACGCTCAGGATATTGGCAAGTTCCAATGGCTGATCCTGACCGATCGAAGACTGCATTTGTAACACCTGATGGGCTGTACGAGTTTAACGTCATGCCGTTTGGACTCTGCAACGCCCCAGCTACCTTCGAACGGATGATGGACACCATCCTTCGCGGCTACAAGTGGAACACGTGCCTTTGCTACCTAGACGATATCGTCGTTTTTTCTCGCGACTTTTCCACTCACCTTGTTCGTCTTCGTGCTATTCTCACGTGTCTCACCTCTGCTGGCCTTCAACTTAACATCAAGAAGTGCCATTTTGCCGCACGTCAGCTCACCATACTGGGTCACGTCGTCTGCAAAGAGGGTGTTCTCCCGGATCCGGCGAAACTCCGCGCCGTGG